GCAGCATTATGTCATTAGACTTACATCTCTCTAGAAAAAAGTGATATCTTATCATACATTTTGTCAATGTGCTTTTATATACAGTATGGTCTTAATCAAAAAATGAAGTATTTGATCATTAATAAGATGCTAAGCAGAGTGAAAAGATAAAAGAATGATCTCAATTACAAGTCATGAATCCCCCTGAGTTATGATACTTGCGATCATTTTAGCATGTCTCATTTATGTTTTAAAAAGGATGTCTATGTAAAGACTGGAGGGCTTTCGCAGATGAAATCCAATTAAGATTCAGTAAAAAGGCCCAGGGGGATTCACTTTCTAACCAGGAAATCCTCAACCCACGGTCACCCTTGTTGGTGAATTAATTGTGCTTTCAAATGACTGTTTTGTCACAAAAAACAGACAAATACTGACTGTAATTAATGTGTGAACAACAGAGCACAAACAGAGGTCTTAACATAACCAATTTGCTTGTGATTTTTTTTTTACGCTCCACATACATCCTGTCCAACTTCCAGGAGAGGGGTCGTTGCATTGTGCGCTGCCACCCTAACGTTGACAGCTCCACAGCAAGTCAGAGCCTCGAGGTCCACTCTAACAAAGCTACTCTGAAAGGCACTAGAGGCCCATGCAGACAGCTCCCTCCTCTCTGTGGACCGACGGAGTCAACCTGCGACACGTGACAGGCCCTCCAGTCGCTCTGCTCTGATATCCCCCACAGCCCACTGTCACACACTTCTCACATGCATGCAGAAAACAACATATCAAGCACTTTGAGATGTCAGGGAAAGGTCCGGCTGAGGGTCCCGTTCTCCCAAGCATTGACCATCACATTATAGGTTTGCACTTAAAGGAGGCTTACTGTACATTATTCCATCCCTTTTTTTTAAAGATTTTGCATAAGATGTTTGTCTAGTTGATGAAAAAGAACCAGAGGAGAAGTCAAATTGCATGTTTGTTTGACAAAAAGAAAAACTGAATATAAATTCAATTTGTAAGGATATAGAAAAAGACGAAAAGTAACACATTCTCACATTTGAGAAATTGGTCATTCTTTGGGACTCCTGCTTTCAAAATTGCGTTGCCGATTAATCCATTATCAGAATAGTATGGATCAAATCAATTCAATATCCAATCGTTTCAGCACCGCACTTAAAGGTGAAGTAAAACACACTCAAACTTATTTGATTGACTTTGTTTGTCTCCCAGTTAATGACTGAAGCCATGTGTTGGGATCTAATCATATCCGGAAAATGATCAAGGCCAAACGCCAGGAAAATGTCTCCTTTGAAATGCGTGGGAAGCATCTGTTTCTGGCACCTTTGAAACCCAGAGAGAGACATCTGCCTGATGTGCTTACAATCCCAAAGATCAACACCTATTGCATACATCTCGTTCAAACACATACCACTGCAAATAATGGTGTAATATTAAACACTTTTAAAGTACAAATAAAAACATGCATTTCATATTCTCTAATAAGCTTCCCTTAGCACTATGAAATCTTTGCCAAGGAACTGAATATATTTTTCTCTTTTTGAAATTATGATTGGACTTGTGCGGACAAGGAGCAGATGGTGTTATCTACCTCGTGGATGGAAGGAGCAACACGTGAGCAATTAAAGGCCTGAAGAGATGCCTTCAGTTCAAAACAGATACGCTCAGGAGAGTAAACCAATTCAGCAGTATACAGAAAATAATTATTTCATACCTGGAAAGTTAAATGTGATGGTTAGAATCCTAATATATGGTTAAATGAATTCATCAAGCATACGAAAAAGCGAATGAACAGTTCATGCGATTTTAAGTGGACAGCGATGAGTAGATTTTCCCTAATTTAACAGATTTTGCGAACATACATGGTGGTAATCATCCTTCCACAACTGCAAATCCAACTGCTGCTTTTCTACTCAACATGCTGAGTTTGTAAATGTTATGTAGAGCCATGACGCAGCAGAAGCAGTAGGTGATTAGCTGGTGGCTCATTTCAAACCCTTTTTCTACACAAGTTGCTGTTGCATTCAGCACTTTACACTTGTGTGGGAGCAACAATGGCCTTGCTCCATCTTTCATTCACGCAGAGTCAGTATCAATCACATGACACTACAATGATAGATAGGCAATCTAATAACACAAGGAGCAAAAATAACTTCACTCACTCAATCCTTGACCTTACGGAGCCAGCAGTCCGTTTGGTTAAAAGCTACGGCTTTCACATAAACATTGATTTTTCTTTGGGGATCAATTGCAGTGAAAGCATTTGAACTAAAATGGCTATCGAAAGCTGTCACTAATAAATAATTGCTGTTGTTATGGATGTATACGCCTCCTCCGCCTCCTTTCCAGCAACCCATATTTAAGAGTGTTTTTTGACCACAAGCTATTTGGATTGAATAAAAAAAGACAATGCATGCAGGTTTTCAGAGCAGTAAAGGAACTGCCTTTGGATGAGGAACCATCTCAGCATGCTAAGAGCCGGAGGAGAGACGCAATTACCATCAAACGATAGCAGCGATGACACTGCTGAGGCGCCACACAGGACACGGAGGAAGCGGTGAAACATTTAGGTCACCCCGAGTTCAAACATGCTAACAGCTACAGGAGTGAAAGCTTAGGACATTACCAGATGATGCAAAATGAGTTAATCATGATGGCACACAATTGATTTAAAGAAGAGCATGACATGGCAAACACAACATAATACTTGCTGGTTTGGATTAAATACTGCGGGTGTGTAACAGAATATTGTCTTTCATCTCAGTGGCTGTCATTTGTTTCAATAACAATGATTAGTGTTAAGCAGTTTGTTCCCTGCTAGAGTTTTTCCTAATAACATTTAGCTTTTATGTGTGTCCTTTGAATAAGGGTGTCAGATTCACCAAGAAGGACTGTGTCCCTTTCCAGAAAGCCAAATACTGTAACAAAATGCACCTGTGAAAATTGCAAAAGGCACAAATTCATTACAGTAATAAATATAACCTTGAGTTCTCGATTTCTATTTTTCGTTACACTGCAGAGGTTTCTTTTCTTTTACCAAAATATTTTCAAATAGTAATAGTTAATTGCAGATGTTTGAAGATTAAGTCAATTGCAAATGAGGTGCATCCCATATGGACCCCAGTGCGCCGGTATGTATATGCATTATGTGCAGCACCCTTCTGTTTTTCATTAAATAAGATGTTTATAACGGAAAGGACGAAGTATGAATATTTACCAAAAGGAAGCTCATGACTACGAATCATATTTGTGTCTTATGTGTTCAGTCCAAACAAATGTAAGCCACAGCTCCCAGGGTTCAATCAAACATATCAATATTCAGCTGATAATTCCTTTAATCTGTGGCCAAGAGATCCTTCCATCACTCCAACACTGCCAAAGAAATCCACTGATGATAAGGAAATATGAAGTAAATAGATCATAATGAATTCAAATAGGCCTTTCCATTCATAATACAGTAGCCTCGTTATAAGAGCTGACCTTCTTGGAGGGAAACAAAGGAAAAGTGGAAAGATGATGTGGCAATGTCATTCCAGATTCAAACAGAATCTAATCATGAACTGGTTGATGCAATTGATTTGCTCTTTGGGGAGCATAGATAATTCATACTATAGGCTAAATAAAAACTCAGCATTTCTGTAGCGCTGTATGAGTATATAGGTACTTCTTAAAAGAAAAGTTGATCCCCCGATTCTCAACATCAATCCACTCATCAGACTTTGCCCACCGTTTGTAACAATCTTATTAATGCTTCAACACAATGCTCAAAAGTCGAACAATGATGTCAAAAATGCATTTGACCAAACTTCTCTTAATCAATTGGGCAATTTTCTTTGCACTTAATCCATGGCAGGGTGTCTGTACAAAGAAAAACATTTGTATTGGAAGAGTGACAGGTAGGGGTGTGTTATTGTTTTTGCTCAAAGGTGTTTAAATTATAAATTGAAACATATATAATAAATAGCAGCAGCTCGAAACTACATCATTGATCCAGCTGTTCATCGCCAAACTGCATAACCGTGAAATGTGTCAAAGTGTGATCATGTTGAAGAGACTAAACACTGTTCATGTTTGTAACTTTATGGCAGACTGTAGCCAAAAGGTCAAACACACACATGGGGTTCTCGGCAAAGGGATCTATCCAGTAAGAAACCCCCGTGTGTCTGTGATGGATCCCCCTGGAGACGCCACGAAAGGCTTCTTTTGAACTCAGCCGGCTACAAAGAGAGACCCACCTACTTCAAGTCCTGATTCCATGAAGGCTCAGCACCAGAGACGCCTACTCCTCATTCATTCACATACAGGCTCCCAGGACTCCATTCAGTGCCGCGCACCCTCTCTGAGGACACAACTGAAGCAACATTGAACTAAAAATATTGAATCAATAAACTCCTGCTGGCTGGGTAATCTGTAAAGTGAAACATAACAGCTCATTAGGCGTGTAAGTAGATAATCACACAATGAGGAACAGTCACAACACGCATCACTGAAATACATTGCTGTAATAAAAACATAAAATCAGGATCAAACATGGTGGCATTATACATATCAATTTACATTTTTTTATATAGTGAAACTGAATACAAAAAATATATAATTTGCTGAGATTATTTTTTTACCAACAAATACCACAAAACCAAACCTACCAAAGGGCCAACGGTCGAACCTCTGAGGATTTGCGTCAAGCAGCTTCTTCTTAATGAAGAAGCTGTGTTCCATCCGACAGACAGAGAAATCCCCCAGGAGCCCCACTGCCTGACTGGATGTTCCATGATCTACTCTTTACTTAATGAGGTGTCATGTACAGTTTATATAAAAGGTATGACCTTATTAAACTGTGAGGGAAAGGGTGAAGATGGGGAAAGATAAATGGCAACGCTGTACAGAAACTCACATTGCCTCTGTGGGACAAGAAGCTCTCATTGTGATTGTTCAAAGACGTGTGATTGACGTGTGGCTCTAAAATGGTGCTTCAGAATAAAACAAAGGCAATATTAGAAATATGACATTTTCTTAAAACTGATTTTATTTAGGCGAAACAAATCCTACTTTTTGTTCAAGTGCAGCTATACAGCCATTAGTAAGAAGGCCTACAAATAACAGATTCAAAGTGTAAATACTTATAAAATATAGAAACAAACCAATCAAATTAACATTTCAAGTGCAACGGTTGGTTCTTTCGAATGTGAACAGCAAGAACCGGACAAATGTATTCATGGAAGTCATAATTGAAACTAAATGTAGCTTTAAATGCAGAAGGTAAAATATTATTTCCCAAAGAGCCAGGCTGCTCTTTAAATCAAACTGTTTCCTTAGACTGCTTCCTAGCTTTCCAAACCCCGTTCTTGTTATTCTATTCCTTTAACTTGATTTCTGACAGCCAATTCAATTAGGCTGGATATGTGTGGGTGTAAAAAAGGCAACATGACAAACTCAGAAGATGGATGGCAACCTTTGCTTCACCATTAAAATCACAATTGCGTCGTATTGAAGCTCAATCCATCGGCGTATTACCAGCGGCAGCAAAATGAACACAGCGCCAGACAGGGTCGTAACTAATCAGCCACTGCAGTTCAGATGTTTTTGAAAAGGATCTGCATGCTACTGTCGATGGTCCTTTTTGGCTCCCATTTGGTAAACAGTTAATCAAGCCTTCTTAAAAAAAAGAAAAGGCAGTATTTAAGGTGGGTTTTGTTTTATCGCAGATTAGGCATGGTGACTCATCAGCCACCTGGCCCTAACTGCAGTCTGTGGGGACGGGATGTCTGGGCGAGTCCCCGTCGGAGTCATCTGGCGCCGGCGAGGAGCCGGCCTGTTGGAAGATGAAGGAGAACAGGCTGATCTCAGGTCGCCGACCGAGGCAGCTCTTGCACACGGAGCTGTAGTACTGCTCCAGGAGATCATACACCTCTCCTGTGAGGGAGAAAATATGAGGATTGAAATCATATCACATAGTTGTCAGTCTGTTTCTATAACATTGTTTCATTAGATCACATTGTTCACAACAAAATCCAAAGATGAAACTTTCCAAAGCATATTTAATCCTGTTATAATATCCTTATTGTCGCACTCTTGGTGGTGAAATATTAAAAAGAAGGGACACAGTTTTATGTAAACAGGAAGCAGACGGGTTGTTTTCCTTACCGACACAGATCTTCCTCTGAGTTAGGAAAGAGTGCATCTTGTGGACATCTGTCATGAGTTGGCTGTCACCAAAGGTGAAATAGGCCACATCTCTGCCCGCCTCAGCAGCTGCCAGCATCTGGAGCAGAGCTGAAGGAAAAGAAGCTGCCTGTGTTAACGCTCCACTGTGAGAGAGGCAAAAAACTGGTTCTTTAGAATAAAAAGGATTGACCTTTTAATGCTGTTTTTACAGGTTTGTTCAAACATTATCATCTTCTTACTCATAGATATACAGTTGAGTATATATTAACAGAGGTCTAAGCTAATGTTAGTATTTGAAGTGTGCGCCACCCGCCTCTGTGGCAGTGACTGTAAAAGGCAATAATCGGGGGAATAGGTCTCACCCCCACTGAGAACTCTGGATTAGTTACAAAGAGAAGCCAGGTCTGGCCCCGTAGAGAGCTGTGAATATTTGAAGAGACTGGAAATATGTCTGCTGATTAATGAGGGTTGGGACAGTGGCAAGTTAACGAGCATAACTGAATCAACATTTTCAGAAGAGAGCTATAAGCGGAATATGCCTACACTTCAGCAGTTTCTGTGCCCGGCTCCGTTTCATCCGCTTTTCCCAAGAATTATCTGACAATTAAAAACTATCTGGCTATCTGAGGCCGCAGAAGGCAAACCCAGCAGGAAAACAGCATCCGAATTACAAAGCTCTTCCCAGGAGGCGTGTCATTAAGCAGACAATAGGTGATGATGCCTATGGAGGGCTTTACCTTGCTACAGCTAATTAACAAATATGTATGTATAGTGTTCAAGCACCGTGGCTCAGGCATAAAGTAAGAAGCAGAGATACTACTGCAAACTGTTAGCATTAAGTGTCCTTAGGCTCCCTCTTCAGCGTCCGTGGTACAAGGCTGAGACAGAAAGCTGAAACGGATTGATGGACTCGAGCCGGGGATCAATTTCACTATTAATGAAACATATTAACTTTGTCATTTGATCAATAGAAGGAAGGCGACGAATAGGCTTTAACTAAATGAACGCATTCCCGGAAGACAAATGGATGGCCCACGCTGATCTGCTGGAGCCTTTCAAGCTGAAATATATTCCGTTATATCCAGGAAGAGCGTCCGCTTAGACTGCCAAGTGCATTAAGATGATCTGAGCTTTTTTTTTTTTAAGGCAGCATTACGTCAGCACTTACCTTTCAGACGTGTGTCACCTCCAAAAACCCCACAGCCCCAGTTCCCTGTAGCCACTGCCGAGAGGTTTTGGCTTTGTTCTTCAGGGCGAGCAAAGCCACAGTAAGCCTAAATAAAGACAGACAAAATAAATGATAAACAACATATTAGATAAGAAAATGTAAACAATGCAAAAACCAATTTAATATCATAGAACAAGTGTCTTTCATGAGAAAAGAACGCTGTAAAAGATGTTTGCCGTGTATGAAATTGTGAACAATTTCATACACGGCAAACTCTAATGTATTCTATACTGCGTAGTGCATTGAGAATTTAGATACCCATGAGTCATTATTATTATGTAGTGTTGGATAAATGCTATTCAAAAGCAAACATACACTATTGACTTTTCCATGAATGCTGTTAACACTGCATATTTGACATATTGACTTAAATATTGGGGTAAAAAAAGAAAAGGACAATTCTGTCGTATTTATCACTGCTGTTATTTGATTCTACTGTATGTCTTTTACTGCATTGAGAAAAGCCTACAAAATACTGTGCACCTGAGTATGATATCAATTAAGAAATTAAGATTATGGTACTCAAATAAAGAAACAAATATAATGCACTAAGTAGCAAATAGGGACTGATTTCAGATACCAACATTGCATTATGACAAGCATAGCCCTTCCGTCATCACATTGTGAATACACCAGGTTTTCTCGGGGGTGACAACACATCAAGTTGTCAGGCCATTGAAGGAATGATATGTAATTCGGTATATAAATGCAAAATCCACTCTGATGAGCCTCAGGTCTTAGGATCACCTTTTTATTTCAGCTCAATGGTAGGTTTCTTTAGGAGCCAGTCCTACAGAATGTCTCCTTTATATCAAATATAAATGCAAAGTAATTCCATTTGCCTGCAGGCCTGTGCTTGACACATCAGTTAACGCATGAACACATAAAAGGTTGGTTGGATTGGCTGAACATACATTTTAACATTATGTCATTTGGCTACACCTATTTCCTCAATTCAATTCAAACTGGTGTGAAATTGGCGTAGGTTGGAATAATAACCATTGCACGTTAAATATACTAAACCAATGTGCAGCAACATGAGCATTTGACAGGAAGACAGGTCAAATAAAAGATCTGAAGGGGCTCTGGACATTTATTTTCACCATGAAATGAAGTGAATAGTGAAAATGAATTGTGCGAGCCCACCCTCTTCCTGACCAGTCATAAATTGTTCCTGTGAAAGGGCCGATGTGACAGTTAGCTGAACAATATTCGAAACAGGATTGATCTGTATGTTGGTGCATTCTTCACACCCTTGTCAGAGCTGTCAAACTCCTCCATGCTTTCTGATTTGACAACATCTTGATTTTCTTTGAGTGGGCGGACTGCACACATGGAAGATTCTTATTTAAAACAAATCTGTAAATATGATAACTATGATTCAGTGGCGTAAGGTCAAATATGTTAATGGTAATGAATAGCATTAAGTCTATTCTCTACTAATGTAAAAATCCATCAGTCTGTATTACATACAGTTCAAATATTTACCTAGAGAAGAGTAAACATCAATGTCATCACAGCTGACATTTGTTATGTTACTGTTTCCCAATTATCAACCAAACGGACTGACATTTAACTCAATAAGTCTGTGAAAAGCAAATATTAAGTTAACTAGCAAAAAAAGCTAAAAGATAATTGCAGCCATACGCCGTTAAAAAGCCATGACTATGGAAGTTCAGAGAGTAACATCAAAGAGCAGCGGTAGATTGCCCATTCACTTCCACTCCCATCAATTATACAAAGAGTGCACACTTTGTATACAAAACCAAAAAAACACTTACAGCAGCGCTCATCGTAAAGTTACTAAAGTTCCGATGAGCTGACATCTTTTGTTTTTGATTTATTAAAATAATAACTTTTTATTTTATAAGTGTTTTTTTTATATAAATAACGACCTGCTCAGTTTTGTGACATGCAGAGCAGAGACACAAGAAAGACATGATACTGTATATATAAGATATACAATTAAAATAAAACACAAACGTAAAAAAAAAATGACCTTGTTTAGTTCTCGGTTGAGTCTATCGGGACGAAACTGTTCGAGGAAGTTCTTGAACTGCAGCGCATCGATGGCCACAATCTCTGTGCATCTTCTCTGCCAGCCATCTCTGCCAACAAATAAAGAAAATGGTATAAGATACACCAGAACAGATATGCTTTAGTCAAATTACGCAATAATATCTTAGAGCTGGATCTATGACAGAAATAGGAAGTTCCCGTAAATAAAGTCTAAAATAAACAGATAAAAAACGAACTTTGTGACATACAAAGACATCTCTGAATTTACATTATGGTAATGGTACTGGATGGTGTGGGAAGTGTCAGGAAATCATACAATTGGATGGCAGTTCATCAAATAGTTGTTGAGGTGTTTCAGTCTACAGACTAAGGTGATGGAACAATCAAAACTGCCCTCCCATGAGCTAACATGGCCATAAACGATTGTTACGTAGCTTTAAAAGTAGCATTTAAAAAAAAAAAAAAAGGTATTTTAAGGTCTCTAAAGCAGCTAAGTTCAATAAATACCTGGGAGTTGTGTCCTGGTGGCTGCCAGCCCACTTGTAGGTCTGAGCATAGCCGGTGTATTTACTGTACTGCTGTGAACCTGGTAATGACAAACACAGACATTAGTCACACCCCATAGAAAGCATTAACACATTCATCTTGATATTTAAACATGCTCAGAATTAAAGAATCCTTCCAGTTGTGTTCAGATAGCAAATCTGAAAGAAAAGCAGGTAAGATTACTTTGTTAACCGGCACATCAAGATCAGTAGTTACCAATTATAAAGCGGTTTAAGGTGTTATTATACTTGTGTAGCTAAAATCAATATGTTTTTCTTTTTTGAAAATGTTTTTGATTGATTTAAAAAAAATCAATAACAGCAATAACTACCTAGCATATACACATTATTTCACGCTTGTGTCAGGAAACGACATCTTGCCAGCTGTTATGAGTGCCAGTCATATACTATAAAGTAGATGGTGGATAGGGCTGTGCAATTAATCGTATTTTAATCGCAATTACGATTTTGGCCTGCCACAATTACGAAAAAAACGATTATTTTGCTTTGCTAGGTTGTGACAGTGCACTGCAACATATTTGGTTCAAGGTTCAAGGTTCTTTATTGTCAAACTGACATAGCTACAGAGTAATTATGTTGTTGAAAATCTTATGTCACAGGCTTCTCCAACAATGCAACATAATAATAATAATAATACAGATAGTAAGAGTAATACAAAAAGAAAAATAGTTATAAAATAAAGTGATCAAATGTATTTGTATTTATCATATTTATATATGTTTAGTAGCTTGTTGAAGTGCGCTCCAAAATATTTGTTGATCTTGTTTATTGGTATTTATTATTTTTGATATTATTTATTTAAATGTAGATATACATGTATCATTTATTTAATTTATTTTTGTATTGGTTTTTCAGTTGAATTATACGCTCAGGGAAATCAACAGTTAAAAAGATACTGTTCAAATTATTATTTGTATTTAAAAGTTCAATAAATGGATGTTTTCAAAGTCAATGAATAATCGTATTTAATAATCGTGATATCAATTATTGACCAAAATAATCGTGATTATGATTTTTGCCATAATCGCACAGCCCTAATGGTGGATACATTTTCCTAGACAAAATGACACTTTGAAACCAACAACAGCTTCCACCATTTACATATCAGTTTATATTAACAATCAAAAACAAATCAAAAGCAGAAATGCAAAGTAAAAACAGTATCTACAACTGGTTACTCTTGAAATGTGTGCAAAGACATCCAAATATACAAATTACTTTATAAATTAACTGTAATAACCAAAGGTTTTCATTCAGGTGTCTTTAGTGATCCTGCCTGATGTGAACAGATGAAACCGGAGCAGCTGTTTCCTGACAAGAGGAAGGTCAAGTTATTACCCCCCTTGAAACAACGTGAGAAGCAGCGTCTGACCGCCGGCCCACAGGGGCACACTCCACACCGGAAAAAGGGGGGGGGGGGGGAGCAGCAGCACAGTCAAACCAATGAGGCCACAAATTAACTTCCCATTCATTAGCGCTCATTAGTACCTGGCTGTCGAGAGCACTCGCTGAGATGCTTCACGCTGCAAAGTGAATAAACCAAGTGATTAGTAGAGGGGCCTCGGTCAGCAGGTATAAGGAGGTGCACAGGGGGGGGGGGGGTCTCTAGAGTGCAGTCTGCTTGACAGACATTTCACTTATAATCATCCTGCCTTACACTTTTTAAAGTAATAAGCACAATTACTGCCCAAACAAGACATTCAAGTACCTACACTGGTTCACAAATACTTTATTTACAGAAAACAGACGAGCAAAGAGGCCGAATGGACAGTATAACATGCTACCTAACTTATATATAAACTGTGTGTGCAGCCAAGTCATTCAAGCTAAGTGACAGTTTCTTACAATCCAACTACTGGCTACAAACAGATTTGCAATAATAAATGAAAATCTACACTAAACTTAAAGATCGTCCTAGCACCATTTATGGACAAAGTTTGTGCGGAGTTGTAACTCTTCTTGTTCATAAGACTGGACAGTAAACTGGCACAGGTGGCAGATAACGGAAAATATTCCATTATCTTCAAAATATATTCAACAAGATGATAAGAGAACCTCTTGTTATTTTTTTTGCTGTTCAATACCACAATTCGTGTCATAAATAATTTGCGGACAGGGTTTAAAAAAGCTTTTCAATACAAGTTACTTTATGAAAGTTTCAGAATTGGTACAAGTTACTACGGGAGACCACTGAAGGACGTTTGCATTACTGATAAAATGCCCTGCCGCCCTGTCTAAAGTATTCATACATCTGACCTTTAATGGTCCTCCAAGAATATCATCTCTATGATCAACCATATTTGCGTTTGAAAGGAACAACCTTCATGAACAATATCAATTATGATATTGTTGCAGTGCGAATCAGATCAATCTTGGCCCGGCAAAGATGTGTCTGGTTGTTAAAAATGATTTCTAAATGACAAAAAGGTTGCATAAAAATCACCAGGTATAATGTGCGGTGCTCCTGAAGGTTGTTCCTTTCATGTGTAAATACATCACAACAAACTGTCTCATATTGGTGGTGAACCAGAGACAGAAAAAGGTCAGGAGCGCATCTCATTGCCATGTTGAGGTAAAAGTGAGAAACGAGAAGGCAACATTGAATAGTGAAGCAAGATTGTGTGCAAAAAATGTCTCTGTATCTAACGCACCACAGTTGCTGCTCACTATTTCCATCTATGAGTCACATGACTTCTCCTTGATACAGTTTATACGTTTGACCGCTCCAATGGCAGCCACATATCTAGCAATCAAGGATAAATTCAATTAGGCCCGGGCACTTTTGCAAATTTCACTGCAGAGGCAGCACATGACAGGGGGACATGATTTACAACATGGCCACAACGCAGCTAAGGCTTAGACTTGGCTGTTAGGACGGAGGACAAGGGATGCGGGCAGGGTTCAATAAAGATGATGGAATGGGAGAGTCCATTAGCGGAGCAGGTCTTGGGCAGGTCTTCCAGCTATAATTAATTCTGGGCCCGGGTAATAAAGTTAAGTGGCGTAAGTGGAGGCGAGGGAGAGATGGCCAGCAAGGAGTCTGAAGGTGACTCCACCAAGCACAGAAGATCTGCTGCAGTGGTGTGATGCTGATCAGGAGGGCGGTGGCTCTGTTGCCTCACTTCCTGCTCATCCACCCCCTGGTCATGCATCTTGGTAATATATTTATGGTCAGTGAGTTTATGTGTTGTAACAGTGGTTTACGTCATGCACTTGAATATATTTAAATGTATAATTTCAAGACACATTTATCTCCAATGTAACAGGAAGTTGTTTTTTGTATATAAGCAGCTAATATTTGGTGCTAGACAAGGAGCGTATGGATAGTTTATCAGCGCTTTCTCACAAAGAAACCGATTTCTGACTGTGTTGGAAAGCAAGGTTATAGGGTCAGAGAGAACCAAAACAAAATGGACGTAAATCCAAAACAATGAGCTTAAAAAACATTCATGATAGCTGCTGTAATGTCATAATGTAAGATCTATATGGACCCAAATGGAATTCAATGTGTTACAAGGCAAGAGCTGTATTTTTCTATAACTAAATGCCTCTTCTTATTCCTTTAAAATCCATTTAATTGATGTCAGCTATACCATGCTCTACTAATAAAGGGCTCACTGCATCTATTAAAATAGAGGTACTGATGATTTTTGGTTATCCTGCTATACTATCTGTGCATTTCTGATTTTATTATAAAAAAATACTAGTAACAAGTTCAAAAAGCTACCTTTTTTTACTCAATTTACTCTAATTCTTATGCCTGATTATTCCCTTAATGTACAAAGTTACTTATGTGATAAACTTATCTTGAGATTTTTTTTGTTGAAATGGTTTTACTGGATTAAAGTAAACTTCCGTTAGTGTTATAAAAGCAATTACTATACAACATAACTTTTGTTTTCCAAACTCTCCATCAAAATCAATCAAGCAAAGAGTCAACAGTGTTGAACAGTTTGAAAGAAACAGGACAGCAATCAGCCTCCTGCTGAGGTTCATACGTCTAGCGGTTGTTACTGGGTCTACTGGCCTGTCACAACCACTCAATACTGAAGTACAGTCTGTGGAAATTACTCGACAGAAAGACACCAGCTGAGCAATCAGGACTGGCCAATCTACAACTCCCGACTGATGCGACTCTTCCCTTACCTTTGGGCCAATCAAAAGGCAACATGGGACAAGGACAGATACAGAAAACAGGGCAATTTACAGAACAAAATAAGCCTCATGCTGTGCCGGAATGGGTAAATTGAAGGTGTATACTGCATGCTCTGTGTGTCCAGAAACGCCTTCTGTTTCTTCTGTCTAATTATAGGTCAAGCATAAGAAAGTAAACCCAGGGGCACTATTGATCTGATCTGGATCAAAAGATTAAAGCATAAATGATTGAATAGAAAAAAGATTCTTCAAAGGATTTCTTTTGCATTTTTACCCAAGGTGTGGAGGAGTTTTTATTATCACTGACCTGTGATGATCAGACATTCATTATGATCCAGGGCTTCAGTGAAGAGGCGAGAAACAATAAGCTCAGGGTTGATCAGAAAACGGATTTCCTCCTGGACTAGACCAGAACTGGTGACTCCTCCCCCCACAAACTGGTTGGCAAAATCCACCTGCAAATCAAGATGGATGACACGTTATGAAGAAAACACTGAAACATCCCTTGCAGCATGGACTGAATATTGCAGTCACATGCTCATATAACAAAAAATGTTCTTTGGCTGTTAACGTGTAGTTTCACAAACTTGGACAGTAGGTGGAAAACACTTCATGAAAAGGTTTCAGGCTTTTTTATTTCATTTATTTGTGACAGAATCCCTGACATGCTGATTGGGAAGGTGTCCTGAGGTGCTCACATTACTCAGACTTCTGTCCCCCATGCCAAAATGAGCTCTCCCCAGGAGCAGCACTTAGGCTGCTGCTGCCAGTAGCAAATGTAGAAAACAAGAGCGGAGTCCTGCAGTCCAGAGTAAACATCTCCCTCCAGTCATAACATGCTGCTAAATTGACTGCTGACTGGTGCCTGTGCTATAGCTTGCTGCGTGTGCTGTGTGGGCAAATCTATGGGTGTCACTGATTGACTTGTTTGGTCTGTTTATGATTCAAAAGAAAGCTCATCGTTTCAGCTCATGAAACAGACGTGACGAGTCATGGTTTTAGTCAGAAATCAGCCGTGTGGAACATATTATTGAATTCCCTGACAGTTGTTGCTCATTGGCCTAAAGACAGCACACACCAACCCCGTCACAACCCCAAAGAAGAGGCTGCAAAGGAGTGAGCCGCAGATCTTCCCAAACTGGTCACTCAACACTGGGACAGCGAGCGAGCCTCTAAAGTCTGCTTTGACAGGCTGTCACGCCACCCCCCCCGCACCCCAGCAGAGCATCCATCAATCCGGGCCACGGCGTACCCCGGGGCTGGTCATGTGTGCACATCAACTGTCAGCTTGTGGCAACTGGAGGCAAACAAAAGGTGAAAGGCAGAGCGGGCTCAGAGGCCTCGACCCCGGTCCCAGCACACACTCCCTCCGACGTGCCACCAGCTCCCTCAAAGGCCTTTTCAGCAGTCGTAAGCATTCTGGGTGAAAGACTCCAGAATGTGGTGGCTTAGTGACTGACTACATTAGAGGAAAAGGGGATGGGAACCAAGCAGTGTGGATGTTTATCAAGCAAAAATAAAGGATACTGCAAGGTTAAGTCCATTAAAGTAACAATAATGACATTGTATATTCACTAGTGAACACTTTTGCTATACTATTCTTACCTGAAGCATTCCATAACCATCATCCTCAATGGTTCCTTCACAAGTGATGTGGAGATTTGTGAGCTGAGCCTCTGAGCTGAAACACAACGAATGAAAAATGTTTTAAAATGATGGATGAAAGTTGAGACCATGGATTCTTACTTGCTTCCAAACAGTCTTTTAGCTTTAGATTTAGCAAGCTGCAGTGTTTTTTTTAATGGCAGAAACAATTGACATACTATTACTACGCTTTGAAGAGTGTCAATACACTTCACCTTTTCCAATTCAGAGGTCTATCCAAGCTTTTTCGTGTGAATGTCACAAGTCCGGTAGGCGCTGAAAAGCAAAAAAGGGAAGTAAGGAATGATTCTCTTTTATAAAATCACTTTACATCAATAACATATTGCAAACATTTTCAAATGAAATGTTAACACCTACTTTGCTCAGTGACACTTTTGAAATAGCAAATCAGGGTTTTCAGTTTCTCAATCTTGCTTGAAGAGCCCCCGCCAAAGAGCCTGAAGGCAAGAAGACATTTTTTGATATTAGGATACATATTATGTTCTTCTTATAAAAAATAAACCACACTTTTTTTGCGAGCAGGTTATTCACGGCATCAGAGCCAACAACCAACTCTTTCAGTGATCCACTGGTTAAATAACTAGAACCACGACAGGGAAAAATGACTCTCCAGTGCGTCGAAACACAAGACCTCCACTTTGGCCATGTGAGTTCAGTCATGCTTTAACTTTTGATATGAATTGGTTCATCTCTCACTCAGCTTCCCTTTCAGTCACTATCCGATTATGCAGGAGCTCCTTCGCTGTTACGACAATGGAGTGGCCCGAGGCGAGCCACACTGGTGAGCTACTTCACAGCACTCACACAAAAAAGGGAACGGAACAGAGCGGGAACCAGGGCTCCCTCCTTGGGGGTACATTAAGAAGCCCTGTGTTGCTTTTAAGCAACAGAGTCCTCAGGAGGCAAAAGGTCAATCCTCCTGAAAAATAACACAAACACACACACACACACACAAAGCTGCTAGTAGCGAGGTGCAGTGGGCAGGTTTGAATGCAGCATTGAGTCCACCATTTCTGTAACCTAAACTCTGTAAAGAACGCAACAGCCCTCCTCATACACCACGATAAAGAGAAAGAAAATGTCATGTGAGTGAAATGAAATAACGACAAAAGCTTGATGCACTGAGAGCCCTTCAGGTGCCGAGAGACGCATTCGTCCAAGTCAGCTCCTGCATCCAGTGTGGCCCCTAGAAACCATTGTGCGTGGTGTAGTCTTCAGGGCATAAGTCTTTGACATGAGCTGGTCACTAGTAAGAGCAGGCTTTTAGTAACATGTGCTCTTTGGGGAAGAGAGAATGAATACAGTTATATAACATCAATAGACCTCCCATAGATGTATAAAAAAAAAGCTATTATGTAACTGGACAAAAGAGGATAAGTGACCACAGTATGTACAGCGGTTGGGTTCTTCAATCATCAGAAAAGAAAACATTTAACAAGAAAAGCTAAATGCACTTTGTGGTGAAATTATAAATAAAGTTTGCTTTTGATGAATCTGTTGAATGACAGGTCCACCATTTTATTAAGCCAAAAAACAACAAAAATATACTTTTAATAGTCAGCTTTATCTCATTGTAGAGTTCATATTTGCATTCTGATAAAGCTGATTTTTTTTTATTACAAATAAGAAGTCTCTATTGAGGTAGAATAACATCGGAAGATAAACAGCTTTGTTTTTATTTCCTCTTCTTATTCCTTTGAAACAGAAATGCAGAGGAAAATAACAGTTTTAATAACAATAAAAGAAAAACACAACTTTCAAAGCTGGCTCGCACCAAATCGGTGATTCAGGGACATTTTTAGCGGCAGGCTAACAAGATGACTCTGGGCTCTCCTTTCAAATCACAGCAAAACCTTTATGTGAATGAAATGCTGATGCAATTGAACTCTGTAACAGCGTTCTGCAAAACAGCCAATGGCTTTCTCCATTGTCAAGAGCAGCCATCTGAGTCAATGTTAATCTAATTCTGACCTCCATTTAGGTAATTACACTGTGATGCCAAAAGAGATGGGGGACAAGACTGAGCAGAGGCCTGCAGACTGTTTTGGCATTACACCACCCAGACCATCTCTACAGTAAAAGCTTGCTGGAATAAAAACAACTCCTGCATTCCTCTTTTTCCTATGTTATGCTTTTAAAGGGAAAGGTTTGGCTCTTACCTACACATAAAGAACAGTATTCATATTTATTTTAAAACTGACAAGTGCCAGAGAAAGATAGATTGGCCAACAAATAGCATTATAGTGTAAAGTTCTTGTAAGTATTGCAGGCAAAAGGACACATCAAGTTCTTTAAAATGTGACGACACCTTTTTCTAATCACTGTGCACGTCATAAGATAGCTTTTGCTCATACGATCTACACACAATGTAAATGCTTGCTCTAACACCCAGGAGGAAGATAAAATGGTTCATAGCGAAAACGTATACAGTAGTGCCCTCTCATGGAAATGAAACAAGTTGTCCCAGCAGCGTCATTTACAAACTGATTATTTGAACATTATGTACGAAGGCACCACACCGTCGTATTACCTGAAGAAGTTGATGTCTGGGTAGTTGTAGTACTCAGTCTTCCTGGAGTTGCGTCGGGGGAAGGTGCAGAAGAAGGCGTTGGCGAGCAGACATGCCACCTGCTCCTGAGACACGGTGATGGAGTGGTCCAGGCCTTCTTTGAGGAGGGGTATCGGCTAGAGGAGGAATAGAGGTACAATTTAGGAAGGTCAAAGTAATTCGTTTTATCAATTTACCAAAACGAGACACTGAAGTACGTAAATGCACAACTTTGGCACCACTCCATGCTTCTTCAATCATAATCACAATCCTCCTTTGCTCACAAGAGATTCATACTCCTGATAACGGCATTTAGTTTATAAATAAACAGTGCATCTGTAAAAGCTATTCTGTCACGGCAATTGGGAGTGCTTGTTGAATTAAGGAAGAGAGATAAACAGGAAAGGTAAGATACAAGTTACCAATTCAGATCAAACACAATATTAATGATGGAGGTAATCATTTCAAATCAATCTGACACACATTTGTATGTGGTAGTAGATCAGATCAATGTAAGAGCCCATTCAGTTGACTTTAATATCAATCTATTCCTCTATCTCAAACACAGACTTTTAGACTAGCTAGCCACTACATTTTCCATCTGTAGACAAAAGATATATTTGGTTATTAGAAAATAATCAATTAGAACAAATATAAATACATTTTTACACTAAAATACACACTTGTTTATGGCTTACAATGCTATAATTTGCTACACTAAATGCTTTAGCACAAACATGTTCGATGAATTCATATTTTTCTTGTGGTGTGGGCCACTTAATATGTTTATATAAAAAGTTAATTCTTGATCAATTTAACACTCAAAGATATACAACTTAAATGACTTGCAAATGGATACACAATGACACTTTTTCAGCTGCTAACTCACATTGCTCTTCATAATCCGCACTTGAAAGAAGCGGATGACCAAGAGGACTTTAAAACATCAGACAAATGACCATCAATAGCTACGTGCCTTGACTTCAAGATTTGTACTACCATTTCATTAGATATTTATCATGTCGTGACCCGTGGGATCAACCTGCTGCGGTGATCTACTGTGTCACGGACCAGTGAGTCAGTGCCTGTTGGTTAGTGATGTTACCTTGGTACAGAGCTCAGATGCTCTCAGTGCTAATTGCACCATGTCTGGCAGCAGGAAGTCAAACAGATGTTCAGCAGCATCAGGCTCCAGGACCTTGGAGAGAGCAAGAGAGTTTGTTGTTTTGCCACAAAACTCAGCTGTGACATTATTAGCTGTTTGGGTTGATTCAATTGACAACTTGGCATCCATGGCAAAATGTACAATTTCACTGAGAAACTTAAAGTAATGAAATGTAAGCTATACAGAACATCCAAAGGCAATAACGTATTTAAATAAAGTAAAAGATAAATGCAGATGTAGTAGTGGAAAAATAAATAACTGTCTTTAATCTCATATTGGACCTGAAAGCTATAATTAAAATACATCTGGCTTCAGCTGAACAGTTTGTATACAATAACATCACAAGCAGAAAAACATATTAAAGTAACATCATACATGACTCCACAACACTGCCTAAGTGCTCTAATGTAAAGTAGACAATATACAGTGTATACTACCCGTATTTACAGCCATATTGGCTACGAAATGTCAGAATGATCAATCACAGAGCCATTTAATCAAGGTTGCACGCACAGCCATGCCAGCTGATTAAACAGTCTTCCTGGAAGAGATGCAAATGGCCAAGCATTTGAAACCGAAAGGACAGTGTGTGTCCAAGACAAGGAGCCTTGACTTGTGTTTTAGCAAAGGACATTTATATTATGGCAAAGGAAGCCTGACTAAACACTGTCATAAGTAATGACCTGGTTGACATCATAAACTGCTCCTAGGGGCGTAATAAATGAAGGCAGTTGACAGGGCGAGACTGGGATATAGCTGAGGTAGTATAAGCCAAGCTCCTTAAATCAGCAGAAGACACTGCATCAAATCAACTGAAGTAACACTCTGTATGACTTGATACAGGTCTGTACATCACACCCAACTGACAAAGTAATCAAGCAAGATGCGTGGGTGCGGGCAGTAAGAAACCAGATTCAGATTTAACACAACTCCTGATGCTCGGGGGTTCCTATTCCCCACAGGTCCGAGCAATAAAGCAATCCGCCTGACTGCTTCTGTGGACGTGTGGCCGTGTAAAAATAAAACGCTTGCATGCTCATAACCGTAAATACAACACTGGTTGTGCTGGAGAAAGCGAAATTGACAAAACCAATGCTGTCCGTCAACAGCTTTTCACATATTCATAAGGTTATTGTGCGGAAATGAATATTCAATGAGGTTGCCCAGCCCGTCACTCCATGCCATTCATGTCTCCGACACTCAAAAAAAGCCTGCTCCAGGGTCTCCAAGCTAAAATCTCCAACGGAAAACTAACAGAGGGGAAAATGGAGTAGGTAGAATTGCATTGTTTGCCTTTCCTCATGTTGCCTGTGGGTTGCACTGGAAATAAACAAGACCTATAAAATACTCAATAGTGATTGGTTTTTACAATAAAATAGGTTAAATACCAACACTATATATTCTTGGCTGTGGATGTATATATGTACGAATCCTAATTGCTACTGCCTCTGCTGCATAATCAACTCGCAGATGTATCCACTCACTTAAGCAGTGAATACATTCTATAGAGGGGCCGAGGCAATAAACAGACTTTGTCAAGAGGAACTGTGTGTGTCAAATTTGCAATAATATGGAGCATAAATAAAGCCAATCTATTAAGTGTGCGCTACCATGACTTATACGCGACTCTAAAAAGTGACATGAGAAATATCTAAAATGAAACACATCTGTGACACTCTCATTACCACAATTTTACGTCAAATTTAACAGGTGTTTACTTACTCCGACAAACCACCTTCACTATGAACCGACAAAGCAATAGCTACAATTTATGTGACACCTCATTTAAAATCCATATTTGTTTCAATAGATGTAATGGCACTGGACATTTTGCAGTCAGACAAAATCTAATCTTTCCATCCAAGTTGACTTGATACAATTCAAATCCAACCACAACAAAACTTTGCCTACGGCTAAAGCCTCTCAACATGTTCAGAATGTATCCAACAAAATTCCCATTCGACATGATTTATGACATATATGGCACACAATTGACTCAAGAGTATAAGGCTGAAGTAAATCGTTTTCTAGGATGTAATGTCATGTAATGCCATTTCATTTCTGACAACTTACTAAACTTTGACCTTTCAGCTAAATGTTAAAATATTTCTCTGGACTCCCACTTTGCCTCTGAAGGGCTTCAACATTCTCCTATGAAAAATCCATTACTAAATAATTGACATGATGGCATTCATAAAAAAATTACATATACTTCCTTCCTGAGATATTGTAAAAAAACATCATGAACTCAAGGTGATGCTATGAAGCACTGAGTGGATGAGTGCTTTTTACTACAAGGAAAATAAAGGCCATTATTTGTCTAGTCTTACATGCTCAGGATTTCTTAAATCAAACACTCATGACACAAGATGGCCCCATCTGTACTAATGGAAGATTACTATTCCTTTCATGAACCAGACAGTAGTACAGCCCTTCTGGATTTTACAAAGGATGACGCAGAGCACATCAGGACAGGAGATGATGGATGGCCTTCAAACCAGGCTGGAAAACGCACTGACATCTCTGAGCAACAACCAATAAACAAACAGAGCTCTGGCCATCATAACGCAACACGGGGTTATCTGGGGACAGGTAATCTGAGTTTCAGAACTCTAAACTGCACAAAAACACAACATATGTCCAATTATTTGTATTGTACAAACTTGGAGCAAGTGTTGTGCCTCTGTTTATGTAATGCTGCTAAAATGCACTCACAATGCTTGAGAATCAATTGACTAATATAGAACAAACCTTTTCAAAAAACCTAAAAACGTCATTACCACTCTTAGCTAGATATTTACTTTAAAAACAGTATCAGCTCAGTCTATGACAGACTAATTATACTGCATAACTTTGAATTATTCTGTGTTTCCAAGAAGAAAGGAAAAATGGCTGCAACGTAGGCCTATTGATCGATATTGATTCACAATGCCACTTAAATACTGGTTATACTAAACTAAATCTAATCTGGTGTCAAATGAGACATCCATATTACTTTTTCATCCACAAGCTGAAGACATTATCCTCACTACCTAATGAGACATCTGTACTCTCTTTGACCCAAGCTCTGTGAGAAACACTGGTTTACGATGCCTTCCGTCGGGCAATTAAGTATCATGATGGGACAGATGAGATTTCAGCTAACCCTCTAACAACTTCAACATGTGTGTCCATCTGCATGCCAGTATTAATTAACTCACTCTTATGATAAATACAATTACAAGAACAAATACACTTTAGTCACTACATCTGGAATCATTGATATTCTTTACCTTTGTGCAGTAAAGTCGCAATGCGGTGAAGTCCCATTTCTTCGCCTGTGAGGAACTGTACTTCAAAATGGCATTCTGTTAAAAACAAATTCAATAATTATTTGAAATATAGAATCTAAGTGAATCTTTTTTAAGTCAGTATTACTACATTTGTGCATTAAAATAACAAACATAATGGACAAAATAGTAGCATTCTCAGATACTGTGTGCCTCTCAGTTTCTGGGCTTATGACGCCATCTTATGGCATAGTCTGGTAACAACAACCACAGTGCAAAATGCCTGTTTTACAGAGTGAAATGTATTAGGCCCTGCCAATAAAAGGATAGCACACAGATGTGAAACTTGCCTTCAACTCGAGTTGACATGTAAATTCGTCGTTCAAAGTTTCCTTGATCAATTCCCACCGACTCTTATTCTGTCGTTCTTGTGTTTCCTGTTGAAGCACACAGCTTGTTAGTTCTCTGCGGGGTGAATACAGTTAAGCATATAAAGAATAACAAGGCTGTGTTGTTGTGCCTGTTTCTTGCAGTGGTTTAATTAATCAATGTAAAACAGTTCCGTAATTTACCCCCTCATTGTTTAATTCTTGCACATGCAGATTGAAAACATGTAATGTAAAAACCTAAAATGTACCCAACTATTTAGTTGGGTAAGCAACTAAATAGTAGCAACTCTTGAGAGTTACTACAATTAAATATACCAATGCTCATAATAGTATCCTCATTGTTCGCACAAATAGACTTTAAAATAGTTTAGGTCAGTCATAGTATGTGATAGTACTGCTTATTAACCCATATAAAACTTTACTTAAATGTGCCACTCATATACATTTGTAACATAATCCATTATTACAATTGTTATTTAATACTGACATGTCAATACAAATGTTATAGATACACCATTACCTCATCATGCACAGGAAACAGGTTCCAACTGGAACAGGGCATCTTGACATGGATGTCATCCCAGGTATCCTTAAACCTAGCAGGATATGGAACAGGTACTTTACCATTGTGAAGAAGGTCCGTCTGTCAATGGGAGTGAATGCAAATAAATAGCATTAGAGCATGTAATACCTGTGTACAAAACAAACTATCCAAATGACAATAAAATATAAAGCAGAGACACTCAAAAATACATATTAAAGATCAGTTTTTTTTTTTTACTTTTCCTTTGCAAGTTTACACAAAAACAGATGATTGTTGTACAAACTGTTTCTGAACACTGACTCAGAAACATGCAAATACATTAGATTGACAAAATAAATGGCTGTTGTTTTAATGACGTAAAAATCTGAAGTGTTTTGTTTAAAAAGAAAGAAATGCTCCAACCCTTATCATCACAGTGTGTTGGCCAGGAACATCCTTCAGCGGTGGAAGCGGTCCCCCACATTCAGGCATTCTGTTGAGATCATTGATTGGTGTCCCCAGCCATTTGACATGAGGTTTGCCCGAGGTATTTTCCTTGTCTGCACCTTGTTTCTCTGAAGGCAGATCTGGTGATGATGTCCCTGAAAAGAAGTCTGTTATTTTGGTATTGTGTTGCTGAGCATGTCTCCACTTCTTCTTTCTTAAAAGTGGGGTAGGTAATTTTGGAGAAACCAGCTCGAGTGCGCTAGAATTTGAAAATACACAGCCGGAACAAATCTGCCACTTCCTTACAGAGCCCCTCCTCCAACACACAAGAACGCGCACATGACCAATGAGGGCACGAGATAAGTTTGTGCACAGATGGAAGGCTGACAGGCAGGTAGGCCATCCAGTTATTTTAGCCGGGCCGGCTAAAATGATTGGTCGTGCTTTTTACAGTACTACGGCTTCCACAGATGACATTTTTTTATGGATTTTTTGTCAAAGCACTTAAGATATTCATTGCTATCGGGATGTTAAGAGCATTCCATGGAATATAACAAAAAGTGTATCTCGAGCCGGTTTCTCAAACTTACCTACCCCACCTTTAAACGAATCATAATTATGGGACAGTGTCTGCATATGCTCACTCTCTGCAGAATCCATGAATGCTGGGGAGACTGGATTGTCTTCATACAGGTGTTGTGGTGTCATGGGCTGGGTTTCTTCATCCGAATCAGAGAGAGCAGGCTTTTCAGCCTTTGTACAGTCTGGAACCTGAGCTGAGGTGCTTTGTAATACACTGTCATCATCGTCCATCTCTACATCCTCTTGGATTTGGCATCCGTCAGCTGTACTTGGGTTTCTTCTGGGCTTAACCAACCATTGATCAAGAGTACTTTTTAAATTCTGTTGTTGTCTTGGGCCGATTCTTTGATGGTTACCTTTTGTCTTTACGCCTCGCAGACCATCTGCTCCAGTCTTTCGCCGTATATCCATCCTTGTAAGTGGGTTGTTTTGCCTTCTTTCTTTATTTACTGCGTCATTGTCTCCTATCTTAAAGCTAAAAGTTGGGACTGAAAAAAAGGGTTACAAATCAAAAACCAAGCTAATGACTTATTTGGTGTATTTTTAAAATGGCATCTAATCAAAATACCTTTGAAGGAAGATGCAAGGGAAGTTGGGGCACTGGTTTCAAACCTGATTCTCTTTGCTAAAGGTTCAAAGTCTGTGAGTGCAGTCATTCTACAAAAGAAAAACCAACACATAAGACCATGTCCATATTAAATTGAGAGAAAGGTGCGTCTTGGCACTTTAAACATAACAAAGAAAATGAATGTTTACTCACAATACAACTTGAGCTGACACCACGATTGAGGTGTTATGTGGTTTTGTCCAGACTTGTTTCTTGGTTAGTCCTTTCTTCAATAGGTTAGCTAATCTTAATATATGGTACGACGCCATACATGACGTAGAAATAGAAAAAAAAATTGACAAGCTGTCGAGAAACAATTGTCAACAAACCATAGCTTGTAAGCTAACGCTTGCCTTACATGCTAACTAGGTGTAAAAACAACCGACACATAATTCAGAATAAAGTCAGAAACTTTAGCCGAGTAGTTTAGATTGATAGCTTGATATATGAAATAACTTCAACTAATATTATAAGAACATTTGTTGTTTTTTGTTAATGGTAAACGCACTGAACATGGCTACAAACAGTGCCGTTGTTCAACAACATTACACTTCCGCCTATGGGTGACGTGACGTCTCAACTTCCAAAACAACGCGATATTTCCGATTCAGTTCTCGCAAATGTTGTTTTTGACATATAAAAGTCATTTTTTCAGAAATTCTGAATAAGGCACTCTGGAAACCAATACTATTTTTTATGTAGACGTACTAAGTCTTTATATTTATATCAATATATATATTTATACTTGTGTGTACAACAACAACAACGACAACAAGGAATGTGACAGAAAGTCACCCACTTACTGTAGGATAGAAGTAAATCCTTTAGGCATTGTAACCGTTCACTTAACACTAACATTTACAGCATTGTAAAGTGCAACTATTTGCGAAATTCTGAGATATTAAGCTACAACCAGCATTTGGTTTCTGAATCCGTGGAGCTCCCCTGTCCTTAGCCACACCCACATGACGCACCTGACCAACAGAAGGAAGCAAAGGCACACACTTGCATACATTAGTAGTAGACATGATAGCGCAGACCTAATGGGGAAATAAAAGTTTAACCAGAATCATGGACAGCAAATACTCTTTGTTCGCTGTTGTCTTGCTGTCTTACGTTTCGAGGATTGAAAACAAAGGTAAGATGCCGCTTTAGTCCTTCGATGGAGCAGAAATAGAGCGTGTTTTTCTTCTTTTGTAAACCGAGACAACGATGGTTGGATGGTTTTGATGTGGTTGTTTTTCCATTGAATTTGTTTGTAGTCTACAGAAGAGTTTCATTGTGTATGCTAAGCTGTTTTTCTGTTTTGAATCGACATGAAGAAACCTAAAAACACAGTACTATTTCACAATTCATTGTTTTTTGTATGTGGTTTAATTATAGTATCGGTGCAATGTGTCCTGAGAAGAAATATCCTGACTTAACCACTCTGACAGTATTTACAGTTTTTCATTCATCTTTCTTCCAGACATATTCGATGGGCTTTCCAAGTACTCCATTGTAAATCCTCAAGTGATTCAAAGATGGACAAGGAGCATCAGCAAACCAAAACAGTCACAAGAGGTAGGTAAACAACCCTGATTCATTATATCAACTAAACATTAAAGTAGTTTGATATGACAACTACAAGAATACTTCCTTGTTCTTTCCCATTTCAGAAAAATGGAGATGAGGCAATATCATATGCACTTAACATTAACAACAGGAAGCACCTCCTTCATCTAAAAAAGAACAGGTATGCATAGAGATTTGTTTCGGCTGTATATACAAACGATTGTCTCCGCCCCTAACCTTAACAATTAGTTGTGAAATGTGCAAACAAAATTGAAATATTTGAGTGTTCTCACAAGCAACTCAAATTTGATCAGATCTAATATTCAGGTCTGGTTAGGACAACAGAGAAGATGATAGGTCTATACTCTCACCGCTAACACATTCTTTATATACTAAAGTGTATATGTTTTTGAGATGTTTGTGGTCTGGTTGTTCAAGGCTGATGTTTGCATAATGCATTTTTATTTTATGTATCGTTTGTTGAGTTGTCTGCTCCTGATACAGCAATTGTCTTTCTCCAAAACAAATGTCGCCCATTGGAGACAGTAAAGTAACCTTAGACCTTGTTATGCTTCTGATTAAATATCTTGTGTATTTTCTTCCTCCTCTTGTCAGAGACTTTTTACACCCAAACTTTGTTCAATTTTCACGTGACGCAACTGGTAACCCTGAATCATCCTATCCAAAACAGCATGTAAGTCGACACTTGCTCATTCTGGTTTATAGGATTTGTTTGAACTTCAATTCTTGAACCATGTTCTTTTTTTTCCCAGGTACACTGCTATTACCACGGAGAGGTGGAGGGATATGAGGATTCGTTGGTAGCGCTCAGCACATGCTCTGGCCTCAGGTTGGAAAATCCCTCTTGCTGTTTTTAGTTCCTACTTTGAGATAGAGAAAGGGCTCTGATTTGACATTGATTGTTAAAACATATCATAATTATGTTATTTCTTTTCCAAATTATTGATCGATAGCAATAAAGAAACTATTATTGATCTTTTGAACCTATAATAATTTGTACATGTCTCTTTTCCGACTTTTACTTTGATTATGTGGAAGTGTATTTGGGTGATTTGTTTGAATCAGTCTAATTTGATCAAATCTATCTGAGTTTCTCTTTTCCAAAGTATGTTAGTTTTCCAGGTAATACTACGTTTTGAAATGCATTGCCACAATCCGGCTCTGACCCAGAGTGAGATCTTTATCTAATGTTGTTTCTACTGTGCACTTAATCTATATTTCTCTGTAGGGGTGTGATCATCCTTGGAAATGAGACCTATGGGATTGAACCTGTGCCACAGTCGACAACCAATGAGCACATTCTGTACCTGCTGGATGACTCTCAGGTCGAGCCCACCACTTGTGGGGTCGTCAGTGAGGCTTCATCAACGCAAAGCCATGAACCCTTTGAGCCTGGCCAATCGCTCACTTCACTGCTGCGGGTTAGGATGCTCTACAAGTTCACCTGAACTTATATCTAAAGTGTAAACAGGACTTGAAATTGAAAGTGGGTCTAAATGTGTGCTTTTCCTTCTTGACTGTTTGTTGTTTAAACAGAGGAAGCGCAATTTACCTCAAACCAGTTACGTGGAGCTTGTGCTAGTTGTCGATCATCTCAGGGTGAGTGTGTATTTTTTTGTCTTCACTTTTATGTAAGTAATTGCTAATTGGCTACAACATGACTTTGTCGCTGTGCTTTTCCAATGCTGCAGATAATAAGACCAGAATATTATCTACAATAATTATCTTTCATATTTGTATTTACAGTATATTTATAAGAAGGAAAACGATACAGCGGTACGAGAGGAAATGGTGCAAATGGCTAATCTACTGGATGGGGTGAGATTTCAAGTTGTTTGCAAAAGAAAGAACGCTTAATTCTTGAATAAGTTCTAGGGTTGTGCTATGCTTTTATATTTGTAATTTTTGTTTTATTCTAGTATTACAAGAAGCTGAATATCCGTGTGGTGCTAGTGGGCCTGGAGATTTTTAAGGTCCCTGATCCCTTTGACGTGGAGACAGGCTCTGCAGGAGCTGTGTTGGGAAGGTTTGTCAAGTGGAGGAAGAAAATGCTGTTACCAAAGATCAGGCATGACATTGGACAACTTATTATGTAAGTGACATGTGTTTTCTGGCTTTTTTTTACTTATATGATGACAGCATATTACATGAAGAGTAAAGTGTGTGATCTATCTCTTGGTCCCCTTCAGTGGTAGGTCCAAGACATATGGAAACATAGTGGGTATGGCCTTCGTGGGCACGGTCTGCTCCACAGCAACTTCTGGAGGAATCAACGTGGTTAGTTCAACTCCCTTTTAACTTCTAACACCAGCTGACACCCGGGGGCTTTGGCTGCATGAGCTTTTATACAGAAACAGACACCTTCTGTATTATTCATGGGAGGTTCTTTAAGTGCAGCTCTAAATAACAAAGGAGTCAAACAGGTTAGACTTGAACAGTCTTGCTCAACACAATGACAAGGCAACTTTATGGCTGATTGAATACCTTACATTTTTTCGCATTGTGATGCCTTACAGCAGGGGCACTCAAACTTTTTTATTAAAGGTCCACTTGTGAACTTTATACAAGGTCACTGGTCCGGATCAATGCCAGTAAAGTACCCCCCCACCCCCCGGAGCGGAGAAACGAAATTAAGAAGCAGTTTCTTACGGCGCTCTATGCATGAGGGGGTTTCCCGACATGTCGTTGCAGTAAATTAAAGGGTATTTCATGTTGTCGTTGCTGTGGACCTTCTTAACGTGGACCTATCATGCTATATTTGAATAATATATTGTAGGGCCATACCTATATAAGGCATATTTGAACCTTGGTGATCGCCTCTGATCCATGTTTGTACCAAAGATAGACGGCCTTTCCTCCTGTTTCTTTGTTCAGATTGACATCGATCTTGCTGAAGCGTCTTTTATCAAGGTCGTCCTCCTCAGCTGCATTCACGGACACTTGAAGCTCTGAGATGTAGGTGCTCATTGTGGGTTCCTGCATTAAAGAAAGACACATCATGAGTAATCACAATTGTAGTTAACTGAATCTCAATCTGACTTTTCAGCTGAGCTAGATTATAATCCTGACAAATTCAACCATCAGGAGTTACATTTTGAAAACAACAATGACATCTAAAACAAATTCAAATAAAAATGTATACTGCACAGAGTTCTGAAAATTATTGATTACAATGTTTGTGAAATACAAAAAAGATATTACAGCAAGAAAATAAGACCTTATTGAACACTTTCGTGTGTCTGCTGACAGTGAATGATAGGCAGTAAGAAGTCAACTGGTGTGATGAAGTCTGTTGTACTGACCTCAGGTCAACAGAGATGCTAAGGGTCATTGTGCAATCGTACATGGGAGGAGGCATATTCCACGGAAAATGATACTGAATTCATGTGTATGGGTGTGAGTGTTTTTATCAGTTCTGTGGAAGAACATTGAGAAAGAATTATGGTGCAATAAGTAAAAAAAACAGGAATTTACAACACACACACACACACACACACACACACACACACACACACACACACACACACACACACACACACACACACACACACATACCGTACCAGTCAAAAGTTTGGACACAGCTTCTCATTCGAAGGTTTTGATTTATTTAGATTATTTTGTACATTGTAACTACAGCGTCTCCAGCGCTTTCGAACGGCAATGCCGTGGTTGTCTCCTCCTGATTGGTGGAGTTGGCCCAATAGCCGTAGCGCCACCGTCCTGACGTCAGGACAGTGTTCAAATCTGGATCAGTTTTTATCAGATCCGTTGCAGCCCCTTTTTTAGAGATTTGGGTATGGAGGAAAATAGAGAGGGTTGTGTTTTCTGACACTTGGTGAGTTCCCTGGAACACCGGGGACACATATTCATGTATAAAAGACGTACAAAAGTGCATTTTGCATGATAGCTCCCCTTTAATCTACCTTCTTTGGGGGCCCCCTTCTGGTCCAAGCACTTGCCTGCCTTGCCTGTCGGCAAACGGCGCCCCTGTATACACACACACATTCAATACATACATACAGTATGGTGGCTTGAACTAGTGGGAGAAATGGCACTGTTTGTCTGTAGCCAATACCTTGAACCTCGGCAAAAAAGGCATTAGAAGCATTAGAAAGTCAAGGTAAACTTGCGGTTAACTTGCGGTCTGCAATGCGTGTCACGCTCGCACACACAAGTAAATATATATGCACGTTCATTCTCACAATGCGTC